AAAAAAAAAAAAAAAAGTGATTTAGTTTGTTTCTATTCTCGAAATTTCCACAAAATGGAAATGCAAAAAAACTCTGTCCTCATTTTTTAATAACGCCTGGCCCTCTTCAATCTGAGAGGAGTAAAATATTCACTTTATTTTACAGTCAGAATATTTCTTCTTTGTCTGGATACTTTTTCCCCCTGAAGAGTTTTGTTTTGGGTCAGAGTTCACTCACAGGATATCTATGTTCCTTAATTCTTCAAACCTCAGCTAAATTATTTGTTGACAGACGAACAGATCATGGAAGATCTAAGAACACTTAATAAGGTAAGTGTGTCAGAACCAACTAATATTATACATGTTCTCACTGGATGGTATTTCTTCTAATTACTTCCTTCACACCTTCTCTTTTATAGCTTAAGTCCCCGAAACGGCCAGGTATGTCAACACTAAGTGAGTTGCCACGCTGTCGTACAGAATCACTTCTCCACTTAAAGAAATGATGTCATTTAGAGAAGTTTTTCATGTTGGTACTAACCAGACGTTTCTCCCTCTTCAGTATCGCCGTCATCCCCAGAACATGTCCCCTCAGCTCCCATGGAAAGCCCGTCTCAGCGTTACGAGGCTCGCATCGAGGAGGGGAAACTTTACTACGACAAAAGATGGTAAATTTAAAGTTTCACCCTTGAAATCATTATCTCATTGTTTCCCACTGACATTACATAGTCACCACTAGATGGCCTCGTTGCCATGGTTTTGACGGCAGTGTTTCAGGAACACTTGGCCGCCTCTTTTTGTCTGTGCTACAGAAAGAGATATTTCTTAGCAGCCACTAAATATGTGCTGGTGCTTGAAGCCACAATATAAATAAATATTCAGGGAATGTGGGGGACGGATGCAAAGAGAATGAAAATCCTTGACCAAACACTGCTCTGATGACTTTCTGTTTGAGAGCGGACCCCCACATCAGACGTGAAGAGATTTGAAGAGGGGTAAAAATAATAGAATAGTTTCTCATGAGTCACTGATAGAGACAGGAGAAGTTGAGACACCAGCTGTGAAGTTCCTGCACTGTTCTTTAAAGGCAAAGTCTCATTTATTCATCGCTGAAGAAGACGCAGCCGAAAAACCTCCTCAAAGAACCACAGAGAGACACGTGCGTCATTATTCTTCAGTGGCTTCTTAATGATCAAATGCTTTGACTGTCAGTCTCCTCCCGCGGGTTGGTTTTGTCCTCTGACAGTTTGGAGCCATTAAAAAGAGACTTTTTGTTTTGAATTTCTAGTCCAATTATCCATTTAGCGCGATCTCAGGGGGAATGTGGTTTATTCAGCTGGGTGAAATTAAGTGTAATGCATCTCTCTCCTGTCTGTTCTCGTCTGCCGCTCGTTCCTCACCGTGAAAACTAAAGCTGTTCTTTTGTGTTTGTTATGTTGATAGGTACCACAAGAGTCAGGCCATCTACTTGGAGTCAAAAGACAACACAAAGATCAGCTGTGTCATCAGCTCAGTCGGGACCAACGAGGTGAGTTCCAGCACAAAGTTCATCATTTAGGATCTCCCTGAATCTGTAGTTGTGATTTGTATCAATGTGATGATGTCGTTTTGGACGTCTTCTCCAGATTTGGGTGAGGAAGACGAGCGACAGCACAAAGATGAGGATCTACCTGGGACAGCTGCAGAGAGGAGCGTTTGTCATCCGTCGACGGTCGGCTGCATGAAACATTTCCCCACCTCTCCCCACACAGCCCCCATCTGTTCATTCATCCATCCTTCTCCCCATTGGTCCATCTCTGTTGAATTTGACATGAAGCTTCTTTATCCCAAACACTACCCATCTACACACACGCTCATACAGTCGGTCATGGCCACGGATATGTCATAAGATTTTATCCGTTTTCTCACATAAACCAAACTCTTGTACAGTAAAAGTAGTCGTATAGACCAGTGGCTGTTTTCCAGCATTATTTGTCACTATGTGGCACGTGTGTGAAGGTGGCTGTTGCTCATAAAGAAGGCGGCTTTGACGCTTGTCAACACAAATCTTTTCTCTTTCACACAGCCTCATCTAAGTTTATCACTAAGTTATTTTTCTTGAACAGCTTCCTGCCTTTCACGCTGTCTCTCTGCTGATGAGTTACAAAGCAGGACTGGAAGAAACCTTGTTGACGGGATTTGTATTATTTTTACATAAAAACACGCTGATGAGGCCTCGACGTGTCGATGAGATGAGGAAGTGCTTCAGGTTTGGCTGTGAAGAAGTTAAAGGAGTCAAACCCTTTTCAAAACATTATAACTATTGCACTGTCATTAAGACTCGGAGCCCTGTTATGCTTATTAGAAAAAAAGAGTTATTTTGAACTTTTTGTGTTAATATTTTTCTGTCATTTCCTTCATTCTCTCCATATGTGAACAATCTGGATGCTTTCAACTGTATTTGCATGTGGAGCGTCACGTTGACTGTTAATTTGTACCGTGTTCCATTTTATTAAAATGTTTTCTGCCTTTTATCATCGTGGTGAGTTTGACTGTTTGACTGTTTGCTGGCACAGTATTAGTTGTGTGATCAAAGCTGCATTAAATCCATTCAGCCACTTGGATCAATCTGGAATAACCAGAATGTCGATCAGTAGAGCTCACTCCTCCATCGAGGTCCGACAGTCGCCTTAATTTCAATCAAGCCGCAACTAATTACAGACATGAGTTCGTCTATCACAATTGAAGAACGCAGCAGGAGACTGTGCAGATCAGACCAATCGCATCAACAGGAAAATGTCCGGAACAACATGTATAAATTCTGCAGGGATTCTGTTTCCACCACGTCGTCGCTGGCGCCCTGTGTTCAATCTTGTCGCCCTCTTCTACGTGACTGACTTCTCTTTCTTTATCCTGAGATATTTGTGTTCTTTTTGTTGTTTTAGTTTTAGCGTCCGTTGCTTGTTAGAAACTCCGGACATTTTCCTGCTGCATTCTCACATGAGTTCTCTTGTACAGGACAGTCCCTCCAGAGAATTTCAGTAGAATGTATTCTGTGCATTATTGGAAGCAGCTGTAGAGACCAGTCCCCTTCATATGCCAAATCTTTTCATCATGATTCAAAATGATTCCCTGGGAAACAGGTGAAAATTTCAAAATACAACTGATCTCACAACATTAAAGGGATAAACTAATTCCTAGATCTGTCCCCAAATTCTGTTGGACCTCTCTCTTGGCCCGTGTCTCATCCCTCCACCAAGTTTCATGGAAATCTGTTCTTTATTTTTATTATGTAATCCTGCAGAAAACAAACAGGGCTGAAAACATAACCTCCTCCTGTGTCTTCAACACACACACACAAGAAAGACATGTGAGCCGCTCCGTGTTTCTCCTATCTCAACGCTCTGTGTCCACTTCCTCTGCAGGGGGAGATTTTTCCACCTCGGCAGCCTGACCGAGTCACCTCACAGTTCCTCTGCACTCACACGCCTGCTCTCAAACATCCCTCCGCTTTGTAAACAGCTGAATTGTTTGGCATTCAGCGCAGGTCTCCACCGGGGCCGAGCTGCCTGCCTTCTCTCCCTCTTGTGTGTCCTATCGCTTTAACCGGATGGCGTGTTTCACTTTGCCTGACTTAATGACACACGCTGACAAGGAGGGCAATTACTGTTTTGCAATGCGGCACAAAATGCGAGGCTCATCTCAAAAGGCTTGTTGTCCAGAAGCCGTCAGGTGTGATTGCTCCGTCTCCTGCGAGGGCATGAAATGAGCTGATAGTGGATGCGATGCCTGTCTGCTCCCTTTATTGCAGCCTGTGTCTGGCTCATGGTTAAGGCCAGAATAACACACACACACACACCGAGACACTTAATATGAGATCCACAGGGCTGTTTTTTTTTATATGCATTTCATATGAAGCCTTAGTGAGGCCACTGTGATTTATGTGGACTCACAGATGAGGACAGAGGGGTGGCAGGAACCCTCGTCCACAGAAAGACCACAACATGCATCCAGTCCCAGCTGACACTGGGCGAGAGGCGGGGCGCTGCATGTAAAGGTCACCAGTGTGTGACAGGGTCGACATATAGAGACAAACAACCATTCACACTGATGGTTGACTTAGAATCTCTAATTATCCTGACACCAGTCTGCACATCTTCAAACCAGGAACTGTTTCACTGTGAGGCAACAGTGCTGACCACAGCACCACCGCCCAATGAAAAACAACCGCAAGCAACTGAGAGACATCTGTCAACAGCTCTATTAATTTATCAATTAGCGCCATAGACAACACGCACACATCTGAGCTAAACACTTCCACGTTTTCCTGACTGTATCTTTAACAGTGATGCTCTCGTAGTGATGCAATTTGTCAAAGGACAGACCACCTCTGCTCCCCGGCACCAGGCGTCTCCAGGATCCTATTTTTCCACAATAACACACGAGGTGAAACACTCGCCACGAGCAAAATGACCACAGACCGACACGCAGCCTCTGAGGTGAGAAATGACCACAGAGAGATTTTAGAACACAGCCTCAGTGAGGTGCTAGACAACCACAGACACACAATGATGCGGCTTTGTTGTTTTCACACTGGGTGTCTTGCACCTGCGCAGCAGAGGTGAGGGACCTTTTACATCCAAGTGTCTCTGCAGGTTCACTGGCTTTACAAATAACAAATGTGTTTATTGGACATTCATTTGTTAACCTGGATATAACTATAGTTATTTGGGGCTTTAATCGTGAGTCTTAACACATTTTCCATTCTGCCTCCTCCCTCATCTCCCACTGTTGCTCTATATTTATGGTTTTTCCTGACTGCTCAGACGACTCCCACTTAACATCATTGTCTTTTTTTTTCACACACACAGATTACACACACTTAAGCGTTGCGTCGTTGACCCATTTTACAGCCTTATAATCTTCCTGTCTAACCGTGCAGCAGCGCTCGCCCTCCCCTCCTCACATCCAGGCCTTTCAAAGGGACGTGTCTCGCTCTCGGGGAGTGTATCAGTCTCCAGCTTTCACTGCAGCTGCATGTTTACACTGTCTTAAATCAATATGCTGAATAAGCAAGGGAGCAAGAAGGAGCACTTAAGCATGTAGACAGTCCTCTGGTGATGAATCAATTCTTCCTCATGCACGATGCGTATCCACCAGAGTGAGTAAAACACCTGCTGACGCTCAAAACAAAAGCAAGCTCTCCATCCATCCATGAGCAGAAGTGATTACAGTGCTCTGGCCGTGGTCGGGGTTTGTTGGTGAGTCTTGCAGGAGCTGTAATACTTTTTGGTGGTTATTGCTTGTGTGCATAAAAAGTCACCCGGGGCATCAATAAAAAATAAATAAATCCCCCACCAGCCGCAATTCCAGCACTGAACTCCCTCTTTCATCCTCTTCCCCCTAAATTGAGCATTCGCTCCACTGCATGTTGGCGCTTCAGCTCATGGCTGCAGGGCGGAGAGCTGCATCTCTCTCCGCGCTATCTGGCGGGAAGTGGGGTCCAGGCAGAGTTGGATTTGCCTCTGGTGGTCTGAAGAGAGGACAGCAGCTCCTTCACAATCCTGCTAGGCCCTGCACCAGTGTATGTGTGTATGTGTGTGTGTGTGTGTGTGAGTGTTCCTGCAGTTTATCACTCTCCAGCAGCTCTGGACCGTAGGTGAGGAATTGGTTTACAGCACCAGCTCCTCATTTGACTCTTGATATTTGACCCCCGGGCTGTGGAGTAGAGTTGCAGCCTCGCTGGGCCGCTTGGCAATATTGATCATTTTAAACATTGATGTTGTTAACCAGCAGCTGCTCATTAGAGAATCAGGTCATCCTATCAACTATTTATTCGCTCGGAACTTTTCTGTTTAGCTGCTCTTCTGATGTTACGCGCTGAGCGAGCCCAACGTTAACATAAAGCAGAGCAGAGTTAAATAAATCATCCGTCTCCGAGGCCAGGGTGTGAGCTTCTGATGTGTGTTCACTGTATTTCAGATAACAGCTTTTAATTTATTTTTATTGATTCTTCTTTTCTTTTTTTTATTTGCCAGAGAAGCATCTGTCACTTCCTCCTCTGCTTTTTTAAGGTTCCACTTCAGAACTGAAGCAAGCAGCACATGAACTCTTTCAGGACTTTGTTTTTCCTCACTTATTACTGGGAGGAGAACTTTAGCTTGTACAAATCAAACCTGGCTCAGTGTGTGTGTGTTTCTGCTAATTCAAAGAGAACAGCCTGAGGACGATGGTCTCCTTTAAACAACCTCGAGGGCATTTTGCACTTGAGATGCGTCTTGCAGCTGCTCCCACAGTTAAAAAAAAAGGTGCAGCTCGCTTTAACAATGGAAAATGAAAATAACATAAGATCCACAAAGTGTCGACCAATTTAATCACCTGTGAACGTCATGAGAGCAGCACATTTTACTCAGGAACAATTTAATGACCTGCGTCATTGCAGACTTTTAAAAAGATGTATGATTAATGGATCTTTTGATATTTCAGATATAGTTGATGGATTTGTGTTCTTTTCTTGCACATTCACTTATTTCCTGTTTTATTTTGTTACCTTGTGTCTCATTTCTGTGAACTTCCTGTCTCTTGTCTGGTTTCCCTCCCTCACTGAGGACATGCACCTGTGTCTCGTTTACTTCCTGTACCTGCTCTCTTGTGGTCTATCCCAGTTTCCAGTGAGAATCCCACAATTCCTTCGTTGTATCTGTTGACATCACCTTCTCCTTTGTGTTTTGTGGAAGCCTTCACCTGATTGAACTCCAGCCTGCACATCTCCCCGTAAGTCAAAGACTCTGTTTGATCAAGTTCTCCTGTGTGTCTGTATTTGGGTGTCGAAAAAATACCACCAGTTATTTAACCATATAGAGATTTGGCAAATGTTCTATAAGGAGAATGTTTGTTTTTGGGGTGATGTGTGGACCGAAGAGGAGTCAGGAGGTTTAGACTTTGAGAGGGGGGGTTAAGTATTTGTTATTTTGCTGGAGGACAGAATCTAAAAACGTATTCCAGAGCTCCTGTGTGCTCACCACAGGCAAAGCTGTGTGAGTCCATTCATTTTCTGAAAAACCTCACCAGGACGTGGGCTTCACCTCGTGAGCTGTTCTGCTTGAAGCTTTGTGCCCTCAGAAGGTTTTATTCTGCCTTCCTCACACACACACTACTCCGCACACTCATCCACCTCAGGATGACTACGGATGTTGTTTCCTGTCATGTCCTGCGCCCTTGTCGTCCCCCATGCATAGTCATTCACCCTCAGATGAGAACAGGACATGACAGTCGACAAGGCCAGTGTGACTGTCCTCAACATGCAGAGCAGGTGATTTATACGGGGAATGACAAAAGAAAGGCATCTCATCTCAAAGCAGAAACCCCCGAGAGGGAGTTTTTCTCCGTCATTCTTGGCGCTCGTGGAGGAACTACCGGCTACACAGTGTCGACAAGTGCCAGAGTGGCAATAATCACTTTAAAGATCACACTCCTCGGTGCTTTTATACCTCAGGGAATTATGTGTGGCTTAAGAAAGATGGAGACGTAGCTT